GCCGTGTGCGGGGTGGGCTGGCTCTGTGAGTTCGGCACGCTGTAGTGGCTCGGGTTTTGTGGGGACCAGGGGGTGCTTGGCTGGGCTGTGGGTCTGGCGCCACTCTTTCCTCTCTGGGCATATGTGGGCGCGTTGTCAGGTGGGCTGGCGTCTGACGCGGCCTGGAGGGCAGGTGCGGGGTGGGGCTTGGTGACTGGGGGAATAGAAGGTCCGGCTGGAGGTCGGGTGCTGACCTCTACTGCCCTAGGGCAGAACGTGCCCCCCGCAAGACATTGGCTCACGCTCAGCCCCTCTCCGGCGCCCCTCTCCGGCGCCCCTCTCCGGCGCCCCTCTCCGGCGCCCCTCTCCGGCGCCCCTCTCCGGCGCCCCTCTCCTGCGCCCCTCTCCTGCCCTTCCACGCCCCTGGGTGGAGGTGAGCGCCTCGCCAGCAGCCCCGGCTTCCTTTGTCTGCGCGGCCGAGCGCCCCGCCCCCCGCCCACCACCCCCTCCCGCGCCAGGTGTCTCCGCTCAGTCGCCGCCTCCCCGCCCAGCTGTTCCGCGCTTCCGGAGAGCGGACAAACAGGGCCTGGGCGCGGCCGCGCCCACCCCGCGCCGGCCCCGGTGGGGTGGGCTCGCTGGGGGAGGGGGCGTGCGGCGGGCACGGCTGGGCGGCAGGTACCGGAGGGCTGCAGAGGCGGCTCAGAAGGTGCCACGAGCCTTCCCACAGGTGCCCAAAGCCCGCTGCTCGGCGGCGATTCCGGGAGGAGCACTGACTGCCAGGGGCGGGTCTGGCGGAGGAGAGCAGGGAACTAACCATGAGGTCCCCGCCCGCGGAGAGCTTTCCTGTGGCGGATGCGGTGCCCGGGCGGCCAGAACCTCCCTGCGCATAGGGGTTGGCTGAGGCTGCCCAGGGCGAGGCTGGCCACCTCGGCCCAGCTCCTGCAGGTGCACAGCCTTGACATCCTGGGAGCAGTGGCGCGGCCCTGGCGTTGGGGAGCGGTACTGAAAGAGGGTTTACGCACAGCAAATGGGGTTCTGGCTGGGAGTAGAGGCAAACTCTGAAAGCTTGGCCATTTTTTCCCTCTGGGTCTCCCCAGAACCTTCACCAGGGCAGCCCCGCTTCTCTCTGGGCCTAGCTGTGTCTGCCGAGTGGCTTCTGCCTGCTGGGCGGCCGAAACCCAGCACTCACATGTGCTCGTGGAATCTTCACAACAACCCTGGGAGGGAGACTATTTTTATCTGCATTTTATGGACGGGGAAACTGAAGTTCAGAGAGCAAGAAGCTTTCCCTGAAGCCACAAAGCCAGAAAGGGGCAGAGCTGGAATGGGCCCGGGGTCTGAGCGAGTGCGAGCCTCTCTACTCTGTGTGGTAGGTTAGGAGCGACACCCAGAGTGACCGGAGCTCGCACTGCCCAGTCCTTTAGGCAGGAATTGATTTTTTTTTTTAAAAAATATATCTATTTCTGCGCACATAACTGGGGTACAGGCCAGAGGTGCAGGGGTGAGAGGCTTCACCAGAGACACAGTGGGGAGCAGGACAGGCAGATCGATGAAGCACACTGCTGAGGGGAGCAGCGGGCGGTCAGGAGAGGGCCGCGCCTGGGGGTCAGCGCCTGGCAACACCTCGAGTCTAGGAGGAGGGGCAAGTAACATCTGCTCAGTACCTGTGTGCCAGGTTCCCTATAGCTCGGGCCTGGGGTTTGAGCTCGTGCTGAGCGGCTTCGGCCGGCTTCACAGTGCTGCGCTTTAACCTGATGCACCATCAGCGAGGGCCCCTGGAGGGAGTTGATTTCCACAGTTCGCAAACTGTCAGCGTAACGAAAGTGGACACCTAAGTCCGAGTGCAGGTCTAGCGCCGGACCATGTCAGGTGGGCCGAGCTGGCCACTCCCAAGCCTGTCCCCGGTCTGGGCTGACGCGCCTGCCGGGTCCTGGGCGGCAGCCCCAGAGCGCCTGTCGGCATGTTAGGGTGCTCTTAGGGGGACTGGGCCTCGCGCCTGCCCCCGGCTGGCTCCTTTGGGAGGGACTAGCCACAAGACCCCTTCTGCGGAGGTTATGGAACCATGGAATCTTGGCGACCTTCAGGATCACTTAATCCAGCCCACTCAGGTTTCACGGGAGACACCGAGAAGCGCGGTCCAGTTACAGAGGCCGTGGAGGGAGTGGGACTAGAACCCAGGCCCTGTCCCCGCTCACGCTCTTGCTTCTTCCTGGTCACCACCACCCAGCGCACCCACAGTGCGTCTTGGCCGGCCCCTCCTCCGTCTCCCGTGGTTCCCGTGGCGTTAAGGAGAGAGGTGTCTCCTCTTGGCCCTTGCCCCTCGGGCCAGGGGTCTCCTGGTCCTGGCTCTGCGTCAAGGCTGCAGTCGGCTTTCCGCCGCCTCCCCGCCCTCTGCCGTAGGAGACCTGGCCTGGGTCCTGGTGGCCCACCTGGGCTCTGTGTGCCTGGCAGACCAGAGCTAGACCAGTGCCACCTGTTGCCACCTGTTTCTGCCCTGCTTTTCCCAGGGGCTTTGCCTGGGCCAGCCCCGGGGGAAGGGGTCCCTGGGTTGGCGGCGGCTGGGCAGGAGGTGGGGCCTCTTGCTGGCCATGCCGGAGGACAGCTGCGCTGTGTCGGTGCCTCCGGCCCAGCTCTGCACAGTGTCAGGGCCTGGAGCCAGACGGCCCCTTTATTTAGTTGCTGGGACGTCTGGGAGGTGGGAGCCCTGCCGGGGGTGGAGGGTGTGTGGGCTGAGGGAGAGAGATGTGAAGGAGCAGCGGCCCGCTGGCCCCGCGTCTGTGCCCCTGACTGTCAGACCTGGGGTGTAGCTGGCACGGGCGACCCAGGAGGGTGGGGGGCGACCCCATCCCTGCAGAGCCCGGGGCCGCTCGGAGCAGGTGCTGCTGCGCACACCTGTGTTCCGTGTGCCCGCAGGGCTGGGCCCGGGGCCTCCAGAGTGGCTCCTCCCTGCAGCCAGGCCCTCGCCGGGTCCCCTGCTCTTTCCTTGGCTCCCTGTGCTCTTCGCTCCCCTCTCTGCTGCCCAGCTTCCTGAGCGCCCAGCCCCTCTGCCTGTGCATGGTGGGCTGGCCCCTGCCTGTCCTGTCCCGCCCTCGGCCTTCACTGCTGGTCTGCACCTGTCCTCCTCCACCTCTTCTCACAGCGCCCTGGGCCCTCCCCCATGCCTCTCCCTCCGGCAGGTGCTCTTCCTCCCTGGGGTTGCCATCCCCACAGCTCTCTGGTCCCCCCGTACCTCTGACTGTCCCGGCCTGGTCCCGTGGCCCTGTGTCCCCAGGAAGCCTATGTGGGGATGCGGGTGGGGGTGTCTCAGAGGAGTCTGTTGCCTTCTCCACTCCAGCTGCAGGCCGGTTGCTATGGAAACAGGGTCAGAGGGCCCCTCTGCAACAGCTGAGCTGGGGTCTGGGGGAGGGGTGCAGACCAGCTCCCTAGCACCCGTGGGGAGCCAGTCCCCCAGAGGTGCCCCCATCCTTCCCATCAGGGCGAGTGCAGACAGGCAGGCCGGCGGGGCACCTGCTGGCAGCCTGGCGAGGGCACTGGGGCCTGCTGCGGCCAGCCGCTGCCCCCAGGCTGCACCGTCTCATGGAGGCCCCAGTAGGGTTGTTCCTGAGCAGG